TGAATCAAACGCCTTCTTGCAATCATCGTCCACACGGAACTCCACGTCTTTTTGCAGCAGTGAGCACAAAGGGGCTGCTACCTTCGAGAAGTCCTTAATGAACCGACGATAAAATCCTGCATGGCCAAGAAAAGAACGCACTTCCCGCACGCTTGCGGGGTAAGGCAAAGCAGTAATAATATCGACCTTGGACTTATCAACTTCAATACCTCGCTTAGAAACAATGTGTCCTAAAACAATACCTTGTTCTACCATAAAATGACATTTTTCCCAATTAAGAACAAGGTTCGTTTCTATACACCGTTTTAAGATTAAAGCGAGGTTCTCGAGGCCCGAATTAAAAGACGCACCATAGACACTAAAGTCATCCATAAATACCTCAATTATATTGCCAACGTATTCTGAAAAGATGCTCACCATGCACCTTTGAAACGTGGCCGGTGCATTGCATAATCCGAATGGCATGCGTCTGTACGCGAATGTCCCGAATGGGCATGTAAATGTGGTCTTCTCCTGATCCTCGGGTGCGATGGGAATCTGAAAATAACCTGAATAGCCATCTAGAAAGCAATAGTAAGAGTAACCTGCTAATCGTTCTAACATCTGATCAATAAAAGGTAATGGGAAATGATCCTTACGAGTCATGACATTTAACTTACGATAGTCGATGCATACCCTCCACCCGGTCTGTACACGTGTGGGAACCAACTCACCCTCGTGGGTTCCAACAACAGTCACACCCGACTTCTTTGGGACCACTTGTGTCGGGCTCACCCAACGGCTATCAGAGATCGGATAAATGACTCCCACATCCAACAACTTAATGATTTCATTCTTCACCACCTCCATCATGGGAGGATTCAGCCTTCGCTGCGCCTCGCGAGATGGTTTAGCGTCCTCCTCGAGGAGAATACGATGCATGCATACGGACGGGCTTATCCCTCGCAAATCGGCAATGGTCCATCCAATTGCTCGTTTGTAATTTCTCAACACGTCAATGAGGGCTGCCTCCTGGTCAGGTTTCAGCTTAGACGATACTATCACCGGGAGTGTTCGATCATCTCCCAAGTAAACGTATTTTAAATGGCTCGGCAAGGATTTCATTTCAAGCTCCGGGGCCTGCAAAGTAGAAGGAAGAATTTTTTTATCAGTTTCAGGGAGTTGAATAAAATTTTTATCATACTTGCCAACATATAATTTCAGAGTATTCAAAGCTGTCACAGCCTCATCGATTAACTCCCGACGATTTAAAAATTCAGGTCGGTCACTATCTCGCTGTAGGTCGGGTACAGGGGTACCAGTACTCCTGGGAAGGTACCCAGTACTGCTTGATCTTTTCCTAGACTTTGTGAGATCACGAGCTCCAACTCATCCTCCTTATACGTGTCTAGAACATCCTGTGCTAACGGTTCAATACAATCAAGTAAATAAACACAATGATCAGAATCAGGGAATTTCATGGCATCAAAAATATTAAAACGAATAACATTGCCATCGAACTCCATTGTGAGAGTGCCTTCACGAACGTCGATTTTTGTTTGAGCGGTGTTCAAGAACGGCCGTCCCAACAAAATTGGGGATGACATAGGAATCCTGTCATTCATACTCAACACATAAAAGTCAGCGGGAAA